TGAAAATAGAACTGCTAAATCAATAACTAGATTTCATAATTGTTATCAGAAATACCTATCCGACAAGCAAATAAATAAGGCTTGAAGAAAGTCAATAATTTCATTTGCTATATTTAGATTTAATATTAATCACTATTTAAAGAAACGATTTTATCACCAGTTCATAAATATACAAAAAAAAAAACGTCGATTGAGCATTCAACTGTAATTATAGCCTTCGGGCAGCATATAGATGGGTCATTGTACGTTGACATCATAGTTGGAATAATGTTTTAATAACACGATGCTGAAAATGAATATGGCGATGAATTTATTTACATATATAAAAATAAAATGCTTTTCCTCAGGTTATTCATCAGCTTCGGGAAAATGTTCATATTGTACAAAACAGAACAATTTTCCATCATTTAGTTTCGAAAAAATCGTCTGAAAATTGGTTTAATGTAAACCAAAAGATTTTTTTTCAACGAACACACGAACAAAAATACGACAACATTTTCTACGAACGAATGTTTGTAGCCATCGCTGAAAAGAAATCCCATTTGCAATAACAATTAACAATTCTGATAATGTTCTAGTACAAGTTCACAATTATGGCATTGACGTTTTACAAGATAACCCTGAATAACGGTGAAAAAAATAAAAATTTAATTGAAGAAATTGATCAAAAAGCGGTGCAAGCGCACTGATATCACCTCCTTGTGAGATATAAAATCGTTGACGCAGAATATGCATGGTTTTAAATCAGAAAATAATACAAATCAAACTGCATAATGATTTGAATAAAAATTTCGATTTTATTTGCGTATTTCATTGCCAATCTGATGTGTGTTTTTTTTCTCTCAATTTCATCTAAAATCCGTTCTACAGTACAAATAAATAGCCTAAATTTCACAGTTATGTTTTCGAAATACAATTTCTCTAATATTCTAAATTCACAGTTGCACAATTCTCTTTGGGATACATGGCGATATAGCAGAAAGGAAGTAAATTTTGAGATAAAAAAAATTTCGTATCGCTGTCGTCGGTTGAGTTTGATTTCCGAAATATCAGTACGTTGAGCCAAAACAAGATGATACATACATTTAAAAGGAAAAAAAAAGAAGATTGAAGGTCAATCCAATTTAGGTCGCGTATTCACATTGAAAATATTCGGCGTAGCTTCCATGACGTATTTTATTTTGCTGTTCTAATTTGTTTACGCCAAAATATTGGAACGACGTCAATTCTAATGTTCGACAACGTATTTGCGAGTTGCAGTGACTTTTTTCACTGTCATTGTGGCGATCATTTCGTTGTCCTTGAATTCACGAGTGATTGTCGATGGTGGTTTACCGCCTTGTTTGTGAATCAATTTGTTGCCTTCTAATGTCATGACACTCTTCACTTTACGACCATCCAATGTTTCCTCTTCAAATTCTTTGCCCAATTCAAAATTGAGTTCGGAATTTTTGAATGATGACGTTGTAAGCAACGTGTATTTATCACCGTGTTTCTTCAGTTCAACGGTTGGTTGGACTGAATTTCCGATGGTACGCGTGAAATATCCAACGCCAAGTTCCTTCATGTACTCATCGAAATTCTTCGATTCGGTGTTTTTGTACTTTTTTCCCTCCCACACCTCGGCACCTGCGACATATGGAGAAACAAAAAACGACAACAATTTGGCCCGAAATCAAATACTAAGCGAATTGACTAGGAACTCACAACTTGAAATAAACAAACAGAACAAAAGAACGACTTAATTTGTTTTGTAAATATCATCGCTTGAATCTAAATCTGTGATTCATATAAGAAATAATGATTAACTTCAAGTTCAATCGTTGATATTTAAATGAAATTACTTCATTCCTGTCCCATTTTGTCGCATTCGAGACAAATCAAAATGTCGATCACTATTTTACAACTCACCACTCGTAACAGCAGCAAGAAAGAGTACTGCGATGATGGAATTCATTATTGTCTTTCTGATGTTATGCGTTGAGTAATTGAAAATCAACTGACTAGCCTATTCTAATTGCTCCTTTTATCATGCCATGAATATTGGAGTGGGGCAAAATAAGTTGCATAATTCAAGAATTGCAAATAATAACACCTGAACGTTTCGATAAAGGTGGTTACATTTTGATAAAGGCCATCGGTTTTTTTTCGAAGGAAAGCAAGAAACGAGCAAAATCTTCATCTCTACTGTGTTGTTTGCTTGTGTACAATTTACCATAACCAGCTGTGCATTGACAATGAATTGTGTGTGTGTATGAGAGAAAAACCAGTTTTTTCCGTCTACCTGCTTGCCGTGCGCGTATCTCGGTTATGTGTCAAAAGTGCAGTTTGCCACTAAAATCGAATTGCCATCACTGTAACACCTTACAAATTCTAGTTATAATGCACAGTTACGGCATTGGCGTAACAAGTTAGCCTTGGGCAATGTCAAAAGTAAAATTGCACAATGTTCGAATGTTCCTATATATTCTCATTCCTGTGTGTAGAACTGAAACGATTCGATAAATGCCCATGTGAAGCGGTGCTAAATAAACCAGTCGAAATACAAACAAAACTTCTTTTTGTGCTCATGTTATTCTATACGCTTTATTTTCTCTTTCGTCTTTCATTTCCATTGTACATTGCATCTATTTTTATTTACTTTATTTTGAAATCTCAACAAAAAAAAAAACGTTACAAAAACGACTAAAACGAACTATTTTCCGTAAAATTCTCAAAACTATTTCCTCAAATGTGTTGTTGTTATCAAAGTTGTTTTTTTAAACTAAGTCCAGACACGGATCACTTGGATATATGAAAACGACTTCATGATCTGGAAAAAAGTGAAGATTTGTATGTTATAATGCGTCATTTTCTAACAAATTGATTCAATATTTAGTCTTCTTGTTTGAATTGGAATCTCCCAATCTTTACATTATTGAATTGATACCGTAGAAGAAGGGAAAGAATGAAAAAAGAATTTTATTTGAATTGTGTGATTGGCCAGATTGGTTGATCATTTCGAATTGTCTGATTAGTTTAGGTAGTCTAAACGTTTCGTTGAATTTCATTTCAAAATTGTAAACGAAAAAAAAGAGTCTAGAGTTAGTGGACATTTTTATCGCCACCGTTTGTTCATTCTCTCAAAACGAGAAAATTCATTTCATGCAGTCAAACGAAAGATAGTATACGGACGTAACGAAGAGAGAAGTGACGACAAGAAAAAACGTAAAAAAAAGATGCGAAGAGAAAGGAAAAGGGATAAAAGGAATACAAAAAGAAGAATACACTCACAATGTATGTGTTTTAACGTTGATGTGTGTTCGGTATATTTTTTTCGATATTATGTCTGTGTGTAGGTATTTGTACTGGAACAATTCTTTTTTTTTCGTAGACGAATTTAATCGAATCTATTCTTCGACGCGATATTTACGGGTACAAACAACATTGTTAACTGTCATGGTTGCGATCATTTCTTTGTCGCCAAATTCACGAATTAGAGTGGATGGTGGATCACCGCCTTGTCTCTGGATCAATTTGTTGCCTTCCATTGTAATAACACTCTTCACATTACGATCGTCCAAGGTTTTCTCATCGAATTCCTTGCCCAATTCGAATTCGATCGTTGAATCCTTGAATGTCGATTTGGTGAGCAGCTGGTATTTGCCATTGTCGAGTTTTTTCAATTCAACGGTCGGTGAAACGGCGTTACCGATCTTGCGCGTAAAAAATCCAACACCAAGTTCCTTCATGTATTCATCGAAATTTTCCGATTCATAGTTTTTGTATACTTTTCCTTCCCAAATTTCCTTGGCTAGAAAAATGAAAAAAAAATGAAAAGAAAAAATGAGAAAGATATTTTAAATCGAAAGCAGTTCGAAAGCAATTCGAATATTTGAAGATGACTTATGCTGATGGGAAAATAAAATTTTTCAGTTCGAATCGATAAAAGAAAGAGTTTATACTGCGCAGAGAGAATCAAGTGAACTTTGCTTTTCAAGTGAAAAAAAATGAACTACATACTCCTTAGATAGAAGAAAGAGATTATTTCACTGATGCACTAACACAAAAATATGCTTTGAATTTGTACAAATCCCAATGGTCTGAAGAATTTGCTGCTAGTTTTGCTGTGAATGTGAAATTCGATCGATTTTAATTTCGATTCTTTTTTCGGATAGAATTTATCAAAATTCTGATTAAAATTGATTTTTTCGTTTAAAATTCACTTTGAAATTAAAACCAAATCTTGTGCATCTACAAAAAGGATTTGAACAAGAAAAGTGAACTTTTTCATTTCAGTAACGAAACGTTTTTTAAAAAAAAGGATCTCGACACAAATTAACTGAACAAACTGATTTTTTTTTTTTTTTCAAAAGAAAAATATCAAGAAAATAACATTATTTTTCGAAAAAGAACTTAAGAAACTTCAAAGATTTTCAACTTAGAAAAAAAAATTTCAATTACCAGAAGCGACTGCTGCAAGAGCTACGACGAGAGCGATGATGAACTTCATTTTTGATGCTTTCGGTTGAATAATTGAACAACGACTGATTTCCTTATTAAAGAATTGACAATGAACCAATGAACTCCCATGGAACGAAACGAATTTCAAATAGCAGTGAGAGTAAACCAATACATTTGCACAACGATAAGCGTGTATTTAAGAGAAGAGTGTCTTTGTGACGAGTCACGTCCAACGAACTGTGCCCGGAATGGAACTGAATCGGAGTAGCCAAAGTATGTTTGGTGAGAGCACACAAATGTGTGTGTTTAATGTATAAAGGAATTGTTGTACATTTACCAAAGATGTACGGCAAGCGTTGATGCCTTCGAATGTGTTGGTATGAGTGTACGCATATGACCATTCAACGGATATGATCAACAGAATTTAAAAAAAAAAAGAAGAGTAAACACGAAAACAAAACTGAGCATATCTTTTACCATATCAACGTATGTGCTCGGCCTTAATTATTATCTGAAAGAAGTTCGTTTTTTTTCGTGACTCTTGCCACACCCGTTGTCAACAAATTTTAAGTAACAATTAACGAAACTAACGAAATGTGTACATTTTGTGTCGGAACTTGTCATTGGGGTCAACTAAAGATTATCGGCCAAACAAAAAAAAATACGACAACTCTCCCTCTGATTTTTGGTGACGACTGCCAAGTAGTCGTTGAAAATTCAGTTTCATTGTGTACATTTGGGCAATTTTTTTTAATTTGATAAGTGATAAAGTACTAGATTAATATATGTGTATACAAACTTTTTCATTTTGAAATGAATTATCGCACTTGTTACGGAAAAATCCGTCAATTGAAATACTGCGAAAAAAAAATGAACGTTTCAAATACTAAACCGGTTTGTGTACTCTGTGTATACATCTGAGCTAAATTAAATCATTGACGAATTATGCGAATTGCTTGGTCATACGTATTGCGCTGGACAGATGATGATGATGGTGGCGATCGAAGTAAACACGAAACGAATTGCCATCAGTCAACAAAGCAATCATCATCACTTTAAACGCGAATCAGACCTTTTGCGATTCGTTGCCTCGTGTCTGCGAGTTGAAGCAACAATTGGAGCTATTTATATATTCTTGAAATTACTATCCAATTCAGTGTGTAGTAGTCGTATGATGGATGATTTAATTAACATTTTAGCTCTTTTCTTCTTTATACAAATCAAATTAAAATTTGAATCTCTGTTTATAAAGATTCTTTATACAATCCTGCCTCTTTCAATTATAATTGAATTTTGAATTGGATAATTATTACCAACTATTATTGTTATTTTCAAAGCTTCGAAAACGTTGAAAATTTCTTTTGAATATATTCGAATCTCAGCTCAATATTCAATTATCAAACCGGTTTCTGACATTTTTTCTAATTGTCATTGACACAACCGTGCAAATTAGAGTCATATTGAAACTTTTAGAGCCGAGTTATCGACGATAACTTATCGTGAAGAACATTTTCTAATGAATCAATTGGCAATGCCAATTTAGCATCGAACTTAAACACATCAATTTTTAGCTTCACGTGGGCAACAAAACAAAATCCATCATTTCTTGAGACTAAATACTTTGTTGTGAGATTTAGTCGAGACACGAACCAATTCTTCCCGCACCTCTCGCTTGAAGTATGGAATAAAAGCGATTGGAGAAATGGAGATGAATTATGAATTTCAACCGAATTTTGACAAAATCATAATTTTATAATGGGCAAATTACTTGAGACATTCAAAAAAATTGTAAAATTATTTTTACCATCGCATTAAATATTTTACCAACAAAAATCTTGCACCAAAGTCAAAACTACTTCGATGACATCAAGAAGTAAATAGCATTGACTACTGTTCAAGTAGGTAGTACTGACAAACGGTCTCCGGGAAAGAAAAGGACAGAAAACCACCGGGAAAAACGATTCGTTCCAGTGGAAATAGGAGAAGACTTTCATTCATGCGTACATTTGGCTATTGCACGGATGCAGCATCCAAGGGATACAAATAAACAGACTTCCATTGTGTCTCCAAAATTGCTGATACACATCATGTGTCTGCACGTGTAGAGTAATTTGCCGGTTAAGGGGCAATGTGTGGAGAGATGCGTATTCCAACAAGGATGCTGGAAAAGGACCGTTTCACTGAAAAAGACAACCAGATATGTTTTCACTTCCCCTCATCATTATACCACTCATATCTGACTGAAATTTCTCTGAAGTTCATGTTTGGCTCCATTCCCATTCATGTTCATGTTTCACTACAAAACGGTGTTTTTGATTTTGAACACAAAAACCATTCACGAAATTAATTCTCTTAGACGCTGAAAACGAAAGCATCGTTCGGGTTTCTTTTTTCATCTTTGGTAAAAATCTGTTCGCATCACATAGACTGTGTTCTATTGTTTGCCTTTGTCAACGAGGAAAAAGCATGATGAAAATCAA